TGGCGCCAGCACCAGTGGGTCTGAGTCGGCGGCCCTCGCGTGAGAGTGGGTCCCGGCCCAGCGAGAGAGGAGCACCGAGAGGAGCACCGGGGAGGCCCGCTCACAGGGGACCCGGGCCTGCGAGGCCTTGAATGGCTTGGAGGGCTGTGGTCTGAGCTGCTCTGTTTGGAGCAGCAGGGAGGAGGGTGTATGTGGAGTGCCTGGGCCCACCACCCTGAGGGTCGGCACATCTCCCCTGCAGGCCTGGGACTCTGACAGCCCCCCTTTCTCTACTTCGTCAGGACATTAGACTTGTCATGTGATGCGGAAGTGGCCACCCCGATAGGTCCCCTGAGAGACTGGGAGAGGGCAGGGTTGCCAGTGCTGCCCCTGGAGGGTGCATGTTCCCATTAAATCCTCCCTCCTCTGCTCAGGGGTGCGAGGCCCTGGTGGGTGGGGGTGGGTGGGCTCAGAGAGATTGGGAGGCAGCAGTGGGTGATGCCAATTAGGCTTGAGGACCCTTGCACCTCAATGCTCCTTTCTCAATCCCCATGTCCCTGTGACACTCGTAGGTTTATTCGGGGTCTCCCTGGCCCCCAGCCAGGGGATTGGAGTTGAAGAATGAGATCCAGGGCCCTGTCAGCTTCTTCCCACTGTCCATCCAGCTCCCCACAGACCTGTGCTCACCCTGTCTGAGTTTTCTGTGAAGAGGGAAGAGGAACTGAAAGACCTGGGTTCCAATCCTGCCCCCACCCTCCATGGTCTGGTGGCTTTGCAGTTATTTATCCTCTCCAAGCCTCTGTCCCCCTGTAAAGTGGGGGTAACAAGCCTACCTCCTAAGGGTTAAATGAGACAATGTAGGGAGAGCTCCTTGGACGGCCCGAACGTCGTGGGAACTCAGTAAATGCTAAGTATTATGATTATTCTCAAACCCAGACTCTGACTCCTGCAGAGGGTGGGAGGTGGGGGAGGGCAGGAACCAGAGCAGGGCTCTGCCAAGGGTGCTGGGCCCTCTGGATCCTATCCCTGGAGGTCCCAGCTGTCCCCAAGGCCCCCCAGTCCTGGGGGCCAATGTCCCTCATGATTGTCCATGCCTGAGGCCCAGCCCCATTAGGGGCGCCTTCAGGATCCAGTGGCGGCGCAGGCTTGAGGGCTGGGTCTCTGGTGGGGCCGGGCTTGTCCTGGAGAGTTGGGCCCTACTTCCCACTGCTGGCCCGGCTTGTGCTCTTCTGCACGGGGCTGGGGCCAAGCAGGGCAGCGAGGGAGCCATCCGGGGGGGCGCCACCACGCTTCATTTTGAGGTTGGCTCTCAGGGCGGCATCCTGGCCAGAGCCCCCCTCAGGAGAGGCCAGGGGATCTGGAAGGAGAGCAGGAGGGTGGGCCTTGGGAGCACTCAAAGGCGCCTTCGCTTCACACTGCCCAGCGAGGATAGGGCTTTCTACCCATGCATTCACTCATTCACTCACTCACTCATTCATTCATTCATTCTTCAACAAATGCTGACCAGGGCTGGGCTCCAGACCCTGAAGAGGTGCCAGTCACCACCCTGCCCCCAGGGTGAGACATGGAAACCCCAGCCCAAGAGGGAACCAAGGCTCTACAGAGCCCTGTGAGGAGAGATGAGGTCGGCTTCCCAGAAGTGAACTTGGAGCAGGCCCTGAAGTGGGAGTTGGTGTTGAGGAGGTGGAGGGACCAGCTTGAGCAAAGGCGTGGAGGTGGGAGGGCGCCTGGGAGGACTGGATGGTGGCTGTGTCACTGGGCACCAGGCTATGCTGGGGAGGGACTTAGGACTTGATGAATCTAGATGTCAGGCATGGGCAGCAGGGAGTCACCGAGGGTCCTTGATCGGGGAGGGTTGGCAGGGTCAGGCTGGGGTTTGGGGGAAATTACCTGGCAGCCAAGTGAAGGGAACAGAGAAGCAGGGAGACCAGAGACAGTGGCAGCTGTCACGAGGGCAGCAAGGAGTGGGAGGTCGGAGCAGAGGGAGATTCCCAGCTCTGTGGCCAGCTGTGGGCCCACCGTTCCTGGGCCCTGGTCACCACTCACCGTGGATCCCTATCATGTGCTCCAGGATGAGGACTCTCTCTGCCAGGATCTTCAAGGCCTCCCGCAGCTGCTGCACCCCCTCACCCTGCGGGGAGGAAGCAGCCAGGGTCAGGGCCATTTCGCCTCAGTGTACATGTTGTCCCGGTCCCTCCCATTCCCGCCTGTCACCAGCAATACAACAGCCACCATCCACTCTGGGCCGGGGATAGCGTTTGAATTCTTGTTCACAGACAAGGAACCAACGCACAGAGAGGGTAACCAGCGTCCCCTGGACACACAGCCTGGAAGTGGCCTAGCGGCTTTCATGCCCAGGTGTGTCCCCTCAAGTCTGGGCTTTTCCTGCTCCAAGCTGCCTGCCAGCCTCCCCTGTGTGCCCTTCTTTCCAGAAAACGCCCTCAGAGCACCTAGAACAGGCCCACAGGTGGGGGAGCTTGGCTGATTTCCGTCCTGGCACTGCCCACCTGAGAGCCCGCCCCCAAAAGCAAAGGGGAAGAAAAGCCACTGCTTCTGGGGTCCCGGCAGGAGGGCAGGATGGTGGCGAGCCTGCATCTCTGAGACCTGGCCTACACGTGGGCCAAGGACCCCGTGTGCCAAGACATGTGAATGAGCTGATTGATTGATGTCAAGGCCACTTTGAAAAGTGATGATGAAGAGACAAGTGCCCGCCTGGAGTCAGCAGCAAAACGGACACCTTTTGCTGGTAGAGCATGACAGCTGTCATGACATTCAGATGAATTTAGCTTGAAACACAACAAAAGGAAACCAAAAAGCAGCCTATTGGGTTCCAGGAGAGAGGTCTTCCCACCAGCGACCCAAAGTCCACCAGAAGCTGTATCTGGACAGTATCTGGGATGGGGGTGTCCCCGGTGAGGAGTCCCCCTCCCCCTTATGAAATGGGGAGGGTGAGTCATAGGTGCCCTCTGTGGAGAGCGGCTACAGCGTTTGGACAGGTTCAAGCCTGGGACTAATGAGAGGGCACGATCCTCTCGTGGCAAAGCCACGTGCAAGTCCCAGCACAATGCTTGATCAGGTGCATGTAATTGAGTAGATTCGAAACCCACGAGAATGTTGTAAACATCTTGACCATGCCCTTACTTTGCCTCGTGGAATCTGGCTATGAAATAAAGACTCGGCTTGCAGCCTGTGGCACTGTCTCTCCATCAGAGAGCAGCGTCCCACCCAGACCCAGCTTTCTTCTCTCGTCTGTCATTTCTAATCCTTCACCCCCCCATGGCTGTGCTGGTGTGGCACATCCTCTCAGTCTGGCATCCCAAGTGACCTGTGAATCTGCTCACGCCCCAGCATGCACATCCCCTCCCACTGCCTCCTGAGCCCACCACGGCTGCTCTGGTTCCAGCACCTTCCCCCCTTTCCAGTCCCACAAGGTCCTCTAGAAGGTCCCACAGCCCAGGCCACCTCCCACAGCTGCCTGCCTCCAATGCCCACCTCGCCAGGGGCCAACAGCACAGTTACCTCTGTGGCAGCTTTCTCCTCTTCTTCCCCCTTCCGGCCAGGCTCGCCCTAGGAAGAAAGCCATGCAGTCAACGGTGGTGCGGGTTGGGGAGGGGGCCTGGGGCGAGCAGAGCAGCGGAGGGCCAAGGCCCTGGTCACCCTGCACAGCCTCACTTGGGAGGTGTCTGAACTTGGCTTTAGGGGCTTAATTCTGCTTCTGGGGCTGGGGGGTCAGGTTTGAAACCTCATGAGCTCATGTCTTGGCTCTCCCAGGGATCAAGTCTCCTACCTCTTAGGACTCTGTTTTCCTGTCTCTAAAATGGGGCCAGTCTCATAATAACACCTACGTGATACTTGCTCCTTCTGTGTGACCTTGGGCAAGGTACTTTACCTCTCTGTGCCTCAGTATTCTCATCTGTACAATGGGGTAATAATAGTGTCTACCTCATAGGACTATTAAAAGGATTAGATGGATAACGAGCGTAGACTGGAGCCTAACACATAGAGGTGCTGTGAAAGTGTTGTCATATATTACCAGACAGAAGCCTGGGAGGAGGCATGGCTTTGGAGGCTAACACACCTATGCTTGCCTTCCTGTGTGACCTTGGGAAAGTTACTTAACCTCTCTGAGCTGCCAGTTCTGGCAAATGGGGATAATAAAACACAGTATTGCTGGGCTGCTGTGAAGCTTAACTACACTATGGGTGAAGAGCGCCTCCACAGTGGCCAGCACATAGTAGGTGCTCAGCAAAGATCCATCCTTCCTCCCGGGCCCCATTGCCTCCCCTCCTCCCCCTTTACCCCCACTCCCCATAAGGCCTTGGGCACAAAGGAGGCTCCCCCTCCAGGGGCAAGAGTTGAAGCTCATAAATTCTTGTTTCCAAGAATGGAAATTAGAAGCCAGCTTCCTAAGCCTCTTAAATTCTGGGATTCAGAGACGGGAAGGGATGCTCTAGGTCTACAGCACATTAACTCAGGGGCCTGGGCTCCCTGAGGAGACCTCCGGACTCTCATCAACCCCTTTAACAGGCTATTTCAGTCCTTGCTCACATTCCCAGTGAGGTGGCTCCCTTTTCAATGTGGGCATCTGGGACTGCACTCAAGTTGCCCCTTTCTGTCCTCTGCCCTACCCTGGATAAGGTCATGTTTGGGGAGGCTGTGGGGTGGAGCTCAGGTAAGGCCACCTGGGAGAGTCCTCCCCCCGCCACCCCCACCCCCAGTACCCTGGGCCTGCACCAGGGCCCACCGCTCCAGGTGTGGCCCATCTAAACAGCCCACACTTACAGATGGCCCCGTCATGCCTCGCTCTCCAGCCAGGCCCTGCAGAAAATCAAATAAAGCAGATGAGCCCTTGCTGCCTTCCCTGGCCAACCCTTCAGTCCTCCCGGCCCCCTACACTGGGCTCTGGACCTGGAAAATAAGATGGGAGGACAATGAATGACATGGAGGAAATGGAAAGGCCACACCAGGGGGCCTCCCAGGTTCTGAAGCCATCCTTCTCTGGCTCCTAAATGAACCTCAGCAGAGCCCTCGGTCTTCTCATCTGCAAAATGGGGCAAAGCACACCCCTCCCACCCCCTCACGTGGAGAAAGACCCTCAGAGACCTACCACCCACAGTGAAGCCACAGTCTGGCCCCTCGTGGTACCCAGGAGGCTGTGGCCATTCCGACATTGTCAGCATTCGGGCTAACCTTGGCCCTGTTGGGGCCTGGACAGGACCCGGCAGAGAGTCCTGGAAGGGCTGTCCACGGGGGCCCTGGAGAGCCAGAAATAAGCCTTATGCCCTATGGCATCCAGGCCCTGGCCAAGGGCTCCAGCCTTAGGGAAGGACCACAGTAAGGAGGTAAGGGGTCCAGATGCCAGTGACATGAAGACCCCTTAGGCCAGCGGTTCTCAACCTGTGGGTCGCGACCCCTTTGGGGGTTGAACGACCCTTTCACAGGGGTCGCCTAAGACCATCGAAAAACACATATATAATTACATATTGTTTTTGTGATCAATCACTATGCTTTAATTATGTTCAATTTGTAACAATGAGATTGGGAGTCACCACAACATGAGGAACTGTATTAAAGGGTCGCGGCATTAGGAAGGTTGAGAACCACTGCCTTAGGCAGATGCCCGGCCACACCCTCTCAAGGGGAGTTGGACAAGCAGCTCAGACTCGGTCCCCTTGAACCTCCTCGGAATCTTGCAGACCTGGGCCCCCACAAGGACATGGTCTGCAGAGCCACCTGAGGCAGCCCTGTTCACAAGGGCCTGGAAAACCGTGAACATAGACCACCTGGCAGGATAAGGCTACCCTATAACGTCCACTGCATTCCTGGCAAGGGCTGGAGGCAGCCGGAGAGCCGGAAAGGAGCCTGGCCTAGCCGGGACCCCAGCTCTGCCACCTGCTGTGTGACTCCCGCAAGTGACAGAGCCTCTCTGAGCCTCCACTCCCCCCGCCGCTGGATTAAATGGTGGGATCCCTGAAAGCAGTCGGCACGAGCAGATGGGGGAGAGTGGGGAGCACTGTCATCCCTGACCGCACCTGTGGCTGTGGCTGAGGCAGCCGGAGGGGCACCACTGCGCAGGGCTCCGAGGCGCGGGGAGCTCAGCCAGACTTCTCTCCCACCGCCTCCTGTGCTTCCCCGGACCTCTCTGTCCCTCACCAGTCTTCTCAGTCACTGTCATTCTCTCACCTGCTCCCAGCCCCTCTCTCCAGGGCCTGTGGTTGGGGCCTGAGGGACCAGGAGGGAACCCCTGGGGTGCCTCGCTCCGGGGACCTAAACTCTCGGCTTACCTGGGCCACCCCTCCTGATGCAGGAACAGATCAGGCCTGGGGGCCTCCCATCCCCTCTGCAGCCCTCATCCCACCCCAGGCCCTGCTGGCCAGCCTGGTCTGTCCCACATCCACTCTTGCTCTGCCCTAGGCCTGTGGTCGGCAAACTGCGGCTCTCAAGCCACATGCGGCTCTTTGGCCCCTTGAGTGTGGCTCTTCCTAAGCCTTAGGAGTACCCTAATTAAGTTAATAACAATGTACCTACCTATATAGTTTAAGTTTAAAAAATTTGGCTCTCAAAAGAAATTTCAATCGTTGTACTGTTGACATTTGGCTCTATTGATGAATGAGTTTGCCGACCACTGATCTAGACGAGTCTCAACTGGGCTGACTGGGCACTTCAAGTCTCTGCCACGTATCTGTTCCATGCCAGTAGGCTACCTCAGGAATGTCCTCATGGAGATGACAGAAACACAGGAAAGAGCAAGGCCTCTCGAGTTGTAGACTTAGAAGCACCGTACTTGCACTTCTGCTTCATTCTATTACCCAAAGCCAGGCACATGGTCAAGTCCAGAGACAGAGGCAGAGGACACTTCAAAGTTAAATGCCCAAGGGGGTGGATGCAGAGAGGGCAAAAGATCATTCAACCCATCAGCAAGACCTATCAATTCTACCTTTCCGCACCTGTCCTATACTCCTTCACTCTTATTGCTACCACCGCTTCAGTTCACCATGATCCCTCTTGCCTATCACCACCTGACTGCTCTGTCCAAATCTTTCTTGTCCATTCCTCCTCAGACCATTCTCAATGCAGCAACGAGAATAAACTGAAAAAGAAAACCTGCTCTGACCACTCATTTAATTAAGTCTGCCAAATGGTTTCCTATTGTTCTGTGGGAAAGAGAGGCTTTGTAATGACTTCCATGTGAGGACAGCCTGGGACCCCTTTCTCCAACCTCATCTCCTTCCATCCTTTCTTTCATTTTATGGTTGAAACACATCACAATTCCCCAACTTGTACACTATTTCAAGCCTCTGGGGTCTTATTTGGACTGCTCTGTGTCCAAGTAGAGTTCTTTATCCCTCCTTTTGGTACGGGTTCAAAACCCTCTGCCTTATGCCCTAAACAAAAATTAAAAAAAAAAAAGAGGCGAAGAGCATAGATTGGTTTGGCTCAGTGGATAGAGCGTTGGCCTGTGGACTGGCTGTGATCCTCTACAAGTGGTCGGCAAACTGCGGCTCGCGAGCCCCATGCGGCTCTTTGGCCCCTTGAGTGTGGCTCTTCCTAAGCCTTAGGAGTACCCTAATTAAGTTAATAACAATGTACCTACCTATATAGTTTACGTTTAAAAAATTTGGCTCTCAAAAGAAATTTTAATCGTTGTACTGTTGATATTTGGCTCTGTTGACTAATGAGTTTGCCGACCACTGCCCTAGGCTCTACATGGCATGTCTCAGGGTCTGTGCACCAGCCAGCCCTTCTCCTCCACGCCGAGTCCTCCTGGTGGGAAAACACACTGTGGGGACAACAGGGAGCAGATCCGAGTCGGGCACACTGGTTCTTTGACGTCCAGGACGTAAGCTTTAGGGGCCTGGACTGTGGCCCCCGGTCCTGGCTGTGTCATCAGATGGGGGAATATTTGTCATTTAACTAAAGGGATGAATGAACACATGGGACTCCTCAGGACCCAGTGTCCACAGGGCCAAGGCCAGGATCCACATCCTCGCAGTGTGGGAGCCACCTCTCAGCACCTCCTCTCAGTACTACCCCCCGCCCCCCGACCCCCAGCAGAGCTGGGCCCAGGATGGGGGCTGCACAAAGCCCTGCACAGTAGGACATCCAACACCCAGCAGGCATCCCAGGCCCTTCCTCCTCCTCCGAGTGATTTTCCTCCCAGACCCTTGGGCTCCTGTACTACAAGGTGCTTCCACCTGGCACTTCAGTTCTCTTTGCTTCCTGTAGCAACCCCCTCCCTGGCTCAGCAGCCGAGGAAGCCAGAGCCCAGGGAGGCTGCCTTTTAGCCCGAGGTCACATCTGAACGGCAGAATAAGTTGGGGTGGAGCACCCAGTCAGCCTTTGGGGTACCCCCTCCCACACAGGTGATTCTTGGGAACAGGATGACAGGCGAGGGTGGACCTTCTGTGATGCTGGCCTCCCTGATCTCAGTTAGCTCATCAATAAAATGGGAATGACGCTAACACCTCTCTGGCAGAGAAGAAATGAGCAGTGAAGACCTCTGCTGCAGCTAAAACCAGAATCTCGTGCCTACGTGCCCCCGGGCCCCACCTGGGCCCAGGTGGGGACTGGCCAGGTGGACTGGTTCCTTCCAGAGCAACTCCTGCAGCAAAAAGCCTGGCTCCTCCCTTCCTAGGAAGCCACTGACCCCTCACATGCCAGAAATGGGAGAGGCCTTACCTGGGATCCAGGTGCACCTGGGGGTCCTGGGGGACCATGTGGTCCTGGGGGACCTGTTGGCCGAGTTATAGACAAGTTACCTGGGGCCAGAGAAGCCTTTTGCCCCCATCAGCTCTAGAGAGGGACATTTCCACCCCACCCCAGCCCCTCCCCTGGCCTGCCTCATGGGCAGCAAACAAAGATTTGGTGACTGAATGGTGGGGGGACAGGGAACACCCACTCCCCTGGCCTCTCCTGCCCATACTCAGAGCAGAGAGCCCACCTCCACCCGCTCTCTCCATGCAGCCTACACCCCAAACTGCTTCTCCTCCCAGAGCCTTATCCATGGGGCCACTCTGCAACCAGCCCATGGCAAATCTCTCCCACATCAGCCCCTCCTTGGGACTTGGGACCAGACCCCCCAAGATCATCCTTCTTGCCTGGGTGACTACAACTGCTTCTTGATCATCCACCCTCCATGGGGACACCCAGAAAGCAACTGTTCGGTGAGGTCCCTCTCAGCCCAGCCCGTCCACACTCCCCAGATACCCTCCCGGAAAGGTCCTCGGCTCCTGTGCCTTTGCCAATCCACTCCTTCCCCCGGAGCTTCTCCATTCCCTCCACATCCCTGCAAGTTCTTTCCTACTGGTCTTCCCTACAACTCTCAGGCTGAGTATCTCCTCCCCCAGGAAGCCTCCCTAGCACCCGCCCCCACCCCCCCACCTCTCTTCCAGAACTTCTGGCATGCACCAGCCACCACCCTGCCTGCTGTCAGTCTCCATGTCTGACTGCCTCTGGGGCAGAGAGAGTCCAGAGGGTCAGACTGGGCCACATGTGCCCAGCACAGGAAGCGGCGTTCATGATGAACTTCCAGCACACTTGGACCAGGAGGCCTCTGTCCCTCCCCGCACAGGCCTGTGCCTCCCAGGCTGCAGGGAGCCCCGATGGGCTGTTCCAATGTGCCCCCCGGCTTGAGGAGGCCGGCAGGACAGTGCACCCAGGTGGGGCACACATCTGCAGTCAGAGCACATCACCTGAGGCCCCATGTGCTCTCAAGCTCATTCCCTCACCTGGTCTGAGCGTTTATCAAAAGCCGCCTTTGAAACAACGCCTGCCCTGGCCGGGCCCTCCCCCGGCCCTGCTTTCCGCTGTCATCACTCTCAGATCTGTGGACTCACTTACTTATGAGCAAGGTTTGCTTCCTCCACGAGAGTGTAAATACCACCAGGCCTTTGTTTTATGAACCTTTGTTTTATGACAGGAGGGACCTAGAACACTGCCCAGCAGGTAGGATTTGCTCAGTGAATATTTGTTCAATGGGTAAGAGAGTAAATGAATGACAGGGAGTGAGTGTTCTGGATCTGGGGACAGCCACACAGCTGGGCGGGCCGGGCTTCGGTGGCCCTGGCCCCAAACGCCCCTGTCCAGTGAGGGTCCATGGAGGGTGGGGATCAAGCCAGATCCAGGCTCAGCCCATTGAGCCCAGGGCCATCTCCTCCCGCAGGGCCACTGGTTTCTGCCTAAAGGCCCGGGACCTTGTGCCTCTCATAGTACCGGTCCCACCTGAGCTGCCCTGTGCTGACCCCATGCTCCCCCTGGGCCTGGGCCTCCGTGCATCCGGTGCATCCACCACCCAGATCCACATGAGGGCAGCTCTGAACTGCTTTACGTGGGCATCAGGAACTCGGGTTCCTTTGTCCAGTCCCACAAATGAGCTGCCGAACAGTAGGTTGGGGCAGACCCAGTCTCCAGCACCCTGCCAAGGCCACGGGCCCCCAATGGCTCCTTCAAGTCCCCTTGGCCCAGGCCAAGCCCAGGATGGGGCACCCAATCCAGGCCGTCGGTGCTGCTGCCTTCTGCACTTACCTGGAGGGCCGGGGGGACCCCGGGGTCCTGGGACACCGGCCAGCACCGTGTCCACGGCGGCAGAAGCCAGCTGTGAGTCTCCATCTGCGGGAAGAGCAGACGGCCTGTGACCTGGCAGGGTGGAGTTGGCAGAGCTGGGAGGCTGGACCTGAGGTCCCCCAGAGCTGGGATGGATACTCCGGACCCCACTGGGGCCTCAAAGCAGCCCTGGCAAACAGATGCAATTGCTCCCACTGCTCAGAAGAGCACACGGCGGCCAGGTCAAAGGGCCGGGAAAGCCCGGTGAGCTTCTTATAAAGACAAACTCTTTCCTGAACCATCCAGACCCTTCAACTCTGGCCAGTCCCACTCACCTCCCCAATGCCCCAGGCTGGCACTGTCTTCCAGGTTCCATCCCACATGCCTGCCCTGATGCGCCCAGCTGGCTCACTCACTCAGGGCTCCTCTAAGAAGCCCTCCCTGCTCACCCCTCTGAGCTGCCTCCATCAGGGCTCTGGGGCAAGGTGGGGCCTGTCTAATGGCCTGTCTCCCAAGGCCTGGGCTCCTCTAGGGTGAGCCCCATGCGACTTCACCCTGCGCATCCCCAGAGCAAGGACAGAGCAGCCAGGCCCAGGAACTGGGCTACCTCTGCCCCTCCCTCCATACATGGGAGCCTGGACTGTCCTTCCATAGGCCTCACAGCAAGTGGGCACCTGTGGGTGCTCAGACCCACCAGCTGTCCCCACTGGAGCATCCCCACCTTTCCCAATGCTCACACCCCAAAGGCCGCCCTCCCTCAGGGCCCCCAGGGCTGGGGAAGGAGGGTCCTGTCTGAGGAGGGCTCTGGGCACTGGAGGTGGTAGGTGGGCAGCGTCAGGTCTGACACAGGGCATCATGCCCAGGCCGGGCAGCCTGCAGCACTCAGATGGCTCCTCATGGCCCAGGGGTCTGGGGCTGCTGAGCCCTGAGACCCCCAAGTGCATCACAAACACTATCTATTCTCTCCCTGCCCAGAGGCATCTCTGAGCCACATGCGGGTGAAAAAGCCGAGTGTTCAGCGAGTTAACATTTGCTCCAGACGCCCCATGAGAGAGCCGGCCCCTCCCCAGGCCCTGCCCTGCTGGCCAGGCCCCTCACTCACTGAGGACACAGCCCAGGACCCCAATTCACTTGGTTCAGGATAAGGCTGGGGGCTCTGTTTTACAAGCCCAGAGCGATTCCATCAAGAAATATTATCACCCCACTTTACAGATGGAAAAACTGAGGCTCAGAGAGGGGCCAGATGTTAACACTCAGGTGAGGGCTGTGCTGCCTGAGGGGACAGAAGCACCAGCAGGACAGGAGGTGGGGTTTCCCTAGTGGCTGACAAAGGTCCCCCTCCACCACGGTGCCCTGGATGTACCCACCCATCCCCTCTCAGCAACATGTTAATCCTCCACCACGGTGCCCTGGATGTACCCACCCATCCCCTCTCCGCAACATGTTAAGTCAGTCCTGTCACTTTGCTTCTTATAGAACCCTTCCCGCTCCCCACGGGCCTCAGCTCCCTCAGCCAGGCCGGCGCTGCAGCACTGGCTTCCCCACGGCAGGCAGTGCTTCTGGGGGCTCAGGGGTGCCCCTTGCACTAGCCTGTGGCCCCTGAGGGAGGAGTGTTTTTCTCTCTGCTGTATCCCAGTGACGACACACAATAGGTGCTCAGGCAACACTTGTCAGATGACCTGCAGTGAGGGGACTTGGGACAAGGAGATGGGGCAGCAGATGACCTCAGTGGTGCTGCCATCCTGGCAGAGAAACTGAGGCCAGGCCAAAGAGCAGAGTGATCTTTGCCGAGTCAGGACCCCAGCTGAGCACCAAGGCAGGGACAGGTCATGCTGGGCCCAACGTGAGGTTGGGGGGTCAGTATGGGTCTCCCGGGGCCCCCACCTCTCCCAAGCCAGTGCCCCACTCACTGATGGGCCCCTCATGGGTCCTCTGGGGAGGGCTATCCCTCAGCAGACGGGGTGGCCCAGGCCCCCCTCCCCTCAGGCCAGAACTCACTGTCCTTGTCCGTAGGTGGCTGCAGGGAGTAGAGGACGCCTTGGGGGCCATTTGGAGGGAGCCCCGGGCTGCCTGCTGGGCCGGGGGGGCCAGGGGGTCCGGGGCGCCCCATCTCTCCAGGTAGCCCACGGGGCCCTGGTGGCCCCAAAAGGCCTGTAATGGGGAGAAGAGGAGTCAGGTGAGGGCTGGGCCTGGCAGCCAACATTTCTGACAGGAAACAGGCCCCAATGGGGACAGGGTCAGCAAGGGTCAGCGGTGGCCTTTAGACCAGTCTCCCTAGAGGGCTGTCTTGGGATGTAAGTGAAATGGCTCCCCCCTTCCCTGCCCCCTGCACAGGGAGCCCTGGGGCAGCTGGTGGCAGGGGAGGGAGGCAGGGACGGCTCTGGCCTGGTCCCTCTGCCTCCTCCTAGGACCTAGCTCTGGGCAGGAGCACCCAGGGTGGCGACCAGCCTGATGAGGGGTCACTCCCCGCAGGACCCAGGAGGAGTTTACATGACTGAGGACAACCCTCGCCCCAGCAGCCCCACCCCCACACTGGCACCCACAGCCCCCAGAGCCTCTCTTCTTCCTTCCTGCAGCCCAGGGTGAGACCAGGCCCTAAAGCGCCGGGGATGGGCAGCAATAGGGTGCTGGTGGGCGTACGAGATGACTCGCCTGCTTAGATAGGGGAGAAACCCAGTCCCCGTTCCCCAGGAGACAAATGACAAAGCCAGGTCCTTACCAGGAGGCCCTGCCGGGCCTTTCTCTCCTGCCTGGCCCCGGTCGCCTTTGGAGCCTGGGGGGCCTGCAGGCCCCGGAGGTCCTGTCTGCCCCGGGGGCCCTGGGGAGAGAATGAGATGAGGCCTGGGAACACTGGGCTGAGCGGGAGGCTCCAGGCCGACCACCTGTGCTGTGGGAACAGCCCTGCCCCCAGGAGCCTGTCCACCTGAGGCTTCCCTGAATGGGCAGAGGGACCGTCAGCCCGAGTCGGGCATTACAGTTGACACCATTTCTGCACTGAATGACCTCGATGATCCCAAGAGCTGCTTTGTCTCCATCTGACAGGTGGGGAACTGAGAGCCCGGAAGGCGTGGCCCCTCGCTCAGGTTCCCAGAGCCAGGCTGTAGATGAGTCTGGTTCCCTCTCTCCACGTCCTTCTGTCTCCCTGCTCAGAGTTGGGAAACGGGCTTGTGGCAAAGAGTTCCCCTAAGGCCTCCTCGGAGACTCCAGGAAGCACCACAGGACATGCCTGCCCACCTCCGCGGGCTCCAGGCCCCACGGGTGAGTGAGAGGAGATGGAGGTAAGAGGACCACTGTGTGGCCTGGGGACAGCCCCTTCTCCCTCCGGAATGCCTGAAGGGGGCGCTCAGAAACGCTTGCTGGACGGATGGAGGGGCCTGCGCTGGATCTTAAGGCCCTTCCATCTCCGACTCCACATGACTGTGGTCCAGGAGGAAGGGCTTGAGGGGCTGCTGCTTTGGGGACACTCCACCTGCTCTCTGGGAATCCAGGTGTCATCACCATTTGTAGGGTTTGTTCGCCACCTGGTGGCCATTTCTTGGAACTGCACTTTCCCTGGGAGGGAGCAAGGTCTGGCCCAGAAGACCCAGAGTGGCTCCCAGCCTTCCCCTCCCACCTCCCGGGAGAGGGCAGCTCCTTTTTCAGTCACAGAAGAAGGATTTAAAGAACATGGGTGTGGTCCAGCCCTCTGGGGTGAGGCCTTGGGGACAGTGGCCAGAGAAGTGGGCCAGGGGACCCACAGTGAGAGGCTCCCCTCGCCCACAGCCTGAGCTCACCCCTCCTCCCACAGCCTCAGCGCCTCCGAAGAGTCCAGAATATCTGCTCCTCCCCCAGCCCCAGGACTGGCTACTGGATGCCAACTCTCCCCGCTCCGAGGGTCACCCTCCCTGCTCCTGCTCCTGCTCCTGCAGGACGGGCACACACATGAAGCAGGGCAGAGGAGGCAAGGGAGGGGCTCGGGCAGGTGCTCAGAGCTGAGACTGGGAGGTGCTAAGAAGCTGGGGGCTCAACTGGTGGAGTGGAGAGGGAAGGAGAGCATCACCTTCAAAGGGCTCCAGTGGGGACAAGAATCATGGAGACAGGACCCTTGGGTCGCTGGGTAACCCCAGGGGTCACTTCTCTGAGCTTCAATTTCCTCTGTAACCCCAAGCTTCATGAGCTTACCGGAAAGACCAGAAAGGACATCTGTCCAGCCTAGCGTGACGTACAGATGTTTAATAACTGGCACAGCATGGACACTGACCAGTCAGGGGACACCCGCCTTAAACGCCCGAGCTCAGCCAGACTGACAGGTGTCAGCGGAACACCCACTCAGGTCAAGGCCCAGCACAGTGCCTGGCACAAGGCAGGCGTTCAATGATTCGGGCGACTATTACTACAATTATTATTATTCACAGGCTCAGAGGACAGAATCCTGACCAATGGATGGAAGCTACAGAAAGAAATTTTTATCCCTGACTTTCAAATGTGGAGGGAAGGGAGAAAATAACAGGGCAGCAGGTGCCCTCCAACGCTAGTCAGAGCTTGTTGAGGAGTCCCCAGAAGCTGGTGGGAGGCAGTGAGCTCCCCGTCCTGGGGGGTATGCAGACAGGGGCCAACCAAGGAGTAGGCTGGGCTGAGGGCCTAAATGAAGATGCTAAGGTAGCATCAGGGCAGCTAATGAGGACAGTAGCTGGACTGTATACAATAAGGAATGGTGGGGATTGGGGCAAACTGCAGAGCTTAGACAAGATCTGAAGGACAGGCATGACAGCGGTAGCCAGCTGTCTCCATGATGGACTGCCAGTTCCAATGGCCAAAGTCTCCATTTTTCTAAAAGAAGCCAGAAACCCTCATTTTTATGTGAAATCCCTCAGTGTTTAAATAGCAGCTCACGTTTTTAGAATGCCGTGTGGGCATGTTTGACCTAAGGCCAGTGTGGGACCTACTTGTGGACTCCCTGGAGCCATGCCCGCCCAGGACCTCTCTAGCTGGCCCCAGCTCTCCCCTGTGGGCCACACTCACCGGCTGGGCCTGTGGGCCTTCTTCGGGGCCCTGGGTGGGCGAGAGGGATAGCGTCAGGGAGGAAGTCCTCATTCCAGGGCGGTGGGGTGCTCTGGGGGACCGGCAGGTCATTGTCTGGGCTTGAGGGACGCTCTGCTGCTTCCAGCAGGAGAACCTGGGCCAGAGAAGGCAGAGGGTCAGGCCTGGGCCAGGCCAGGGACACATGTGGACAGGGAGAGTGCCCCATGAGACCTGCAGCTGCCCCTGCTGGGTCGGGGTCACCCTCCTCAGTGGGACCCCCACTGCCCTGGCCGGATGCTCTCCCACCCCTACCCTCCTGTCCTTCCTGTTTCAGGAGAGCCCTCCTGGACCCTCAGGTTCAAGCAGGTCCCCACTGGACACTTTCAGAGCCCCTGAACATATTTTCTAGAGGGGCCATCGCTGGGTTTGGGGATCTGAGTAATGACCATGGTCACCTCCACCTCACTAGCTCCTCACAAGGGGGGGACTGGGTGTGCTTGTCCCCCCACGTTGCCTGGCTCAGGGCACAAATACACGGTCAGGGGATGTTTGTGGATGGGTGGATGGATGGATGGATGGATGGACGAATGCAGCGATGGAAGGTGGGAAGGAGGGAGGAAAATGAGAGAAAAAAATAAAATGAGAGAGAGAGGGAGAGAAAAAAAGAAAGAAAAAGTAAGAAAAGAAAAGGGCCTGGTTTGGTACAGGAATTTTAGGAGGAGCTCCAGGAACACAAAGGAGGCTGTGATCGCTCAGGGCCGTCTGGGAAGCAGCCTGTCTTCTCCCCTTGAGGGAGTCAGGGGTCAAAGACTGCAAGACCCAGGGCCCGGGCAAGGAAACTCTCCCTAATTCTCTCCAACTGGGAGCCAGGCCTGTGGCTCCAGCAAAGCCCGGTTGTCTCTGAAGAGGCCAGCAGGGGGCACTGTGTGCCCAGGATCAGTGCAGGGCCGGAAGGCAGGTACAGAGAACCTGGGCAGGCCCTAGGCGGAGTGGGAGGGGAGGGCACCGGGGCCCCTCCGCTGTATTAAGTGGAGTCAGGCCTCCTGCTCCCACCCCGTGGTGTGTCCCTGCCCTTGGTGTCCATCTGACCGATGGGGAGGGAGAAGTCTGGTGTCTCAGGTTCACTCCAGCTCTGAATCCTGCTAAAGTACTAGCCCCACCCCCCTTTCCCCGTGATTAAGGGGGTCTGAGGATGGGTCAGAGGGTGGTGAGGGGGGCCTGTCTGGGGGGCCTGCTGTTATGATCACTGCTGCCCGAAGGTATCCAAACCCCAGGCCTGAACCCCGACTCTGTCCCATCCTGAACCCTCTCCAACATCGGAGTCCGGGGGCCGCCCTGGGACTTACCTCCCCAGTTCCAGGAGGGCCAGGGCCTGTGCATTTGGCCTTTCCCTGGCCCCACCCCAGTGCCCCTCGGCCTGCAGTCAGCCACACGTCTCCCCTGGCCTGTGGCCCAGGCTCCGCAGCAGCTTCTTGCCTCCCTACCTCCACCTGCCCCCCTCACCTCCTAGAGCCCCCCACTCCCTTCCACACAGCAGTGGGATGAAGACCTCATGCCAAACGAACCCTACCCAGTCCCCCTCCAAACCTCCATTGTCCCTGCACAGGTGCCCGTCTCACCCTGCCCCGCCCCTCCTGGGCCTCACCTTAGGCTCTGTTGCAGATACTCTGAATGACCCCCGAGGCCCCCCTGACCTGAGACTCCCCTCCTGCGGCCCCTGGCTCCTGCAGGGCCCTCTGCCAGCCCTGCCCTTCCCTCCTGAGGAAGATCCTGGACTCTAGTGAGCTGCCCCTCCTCCCTACAGTTGTCTCACCCTCTGGGCAGAGGGGCCCTCCATCCCATCCCTGTATACTCCCTTTGTGCCAATGGCCAGCCAGAGTGGGAGACAGAACCACTTGGAGCAGGCGCCCTCCTGCTGTTGGTCCCCAGAGCCCGGCACCTGTTAAGTGCTGTCTAATGGGGGAGGCTCAGGTCCTGCGGCCATACAGGCTGGCTGGAACCCTGGCTTTCCCATGTGGCCTCTGTGTGACCCTGTGCAAGCATCATGACTTCTGTGAGCCTCAGTTTTCCCATCAGCAAAATGGGGATGACTACAAGCTACCTTCACAGGACTTAGGCCTGGGCTGGGCTGAGGTTTCCCAGGTATGAGGCAAAGGCCCTTCTGAGCATCTACCACCACCACCACCACCACCACCACCACCACTACCAGTTCTGCAGTGTTTCTGGGCCTGGGTGACAGTCTCCGAGGATCCTTGGGAACCAAGTGTCTCAGGTTTCCATCTGTCCTGGGTGGCTGGGCTCCTGCCCTGTGAGGCTCTGGTGACCTCCCCTACCTGATCCTCACAAGAGCCCACGAGACAGGAAGGGTAAGTGTGGCCACCTCGCAGGCAAGGTGGAAATAGAGGTTCAGAGGCCACAAGCGTCTTGCCCAAGGTCACTCAGCGAGCAGACAGCAGGGCAGGGCCCCATGTGGTGCCCCGTCTGCCTCTCCACAGCGTGGCCACAGCCTTGGCCTCAGGGGAGCCTCGCAAAGGCAAGGAAAAGGGGACCCGCTAGCTCAGGCCACCCAGCAGCTTCAGGGTGGAACCCAGTCTCCTGACCCCTGGAACCCCATGGGGAGGAGGGGGTTACGATTTCTGCCTCAACTGCTGAGTCTTCCCTGGGAAGCTGGCTGGACGGTCAGTCAGGGACTCTGGGGCAGTTGAGGGGCTGGGGAGTGGGGAGAGCTGGCTGTCGGTGGCAGGAGGCAGCAGACCCTGGTCAGTGGGCGTGAGGATGGGGGTGAGAACTGGCAGGACCTGGGTCTTGGGGGCAGGCGTGGATGAAGGTGGGAGTGGCTCTCCCATTATTGGTCCGGCTCTGGGGACAGTGGGATTGCCACCAGTCAAACGAGGGCATGGGAGAGGGCAAGACTGGGGGTGAAGGTGACCAGTGTGGGTGGGTTCAGCTGCAGTGTCTCAGGAGGGGGGGACCTCCATATGGACCTATTGCACAGGGAGTAGGCAGGAGCAGCAGGGGCCGGGCAGCTTGGGGGGACTGAAGGAGGGGTGCCTGACCGTGGCTCCTGGGGGCAGGCCCTGGCGTTCTCCTTTCATGGCCAGGCTCTGGGCTCCCCAGAGGCATCTGCCACATGCAGCCTTGTCCCCACACAAAAGGCCTGGCTCACTTCCTCCTGGGACACCTCCCACACAGACACCAGGCCCACGGAGCCCACAGACCGGGCAGAGGAGCACTGACCACGGCTAAGTGAGCATCAGCCCTGGCCCGAGGCCAAGCCCCCCTGGCCCAGCCGTGGCCAACCTTCTGGAGAAGCTGATCCCACCCTGCGGGGCATGAGCTCACCAAGCAGGCGGCAGTGGGCGTGGGGACTCGGCCCAAGAAAACCAGACCATGGCCTTCCGGGGCAGTGGCCCTAATGACGTCATCGCGGTCTGGCTGCTTGGCACCAGACGCCAGCCGAACTCCGAGGCCTCGATGACCCTCACGCAGGGAAGTCCCCTTGGGCTCCCTCCCACTCCTTGTGGCCCATGAAGTCAGAGTGAAAACGGAGGGGGAGGAGAGGGAGGAAGGCCGAAAGCTTTTTCCTGCTGGCCTTCTGCCTTCTGTCCCCCCACAGCCATCCCAGCTGTCCCAGGAGAGGAGGGTGGTAGGAGTCCCAGACCAACTGCTAGGACTGGGTCCTCTGGCAGCTCAAGCACCTACAGGTAGTGAAGATGGAGCTGACCCCGAAGGTTGTCTGGACCCCACTGCCCCTTCTTCCCTTGCTCCAGAACCCCCTGTTGGGCCCCGAGAAAGAATCATGATTGGCCAGGTACTCATTTTTCCAGCTCCCTGGCAATCAGGAGGTGGGCGTATAGCCCAGTGCTGGCCACTGAGACATAATGAGTTTGTTGGGGGTTACTTCCTGCTTTTGAACTCGGAGTTAGGATGTGATGCCTTGAGCTGCAGTAGCCACTCTGTCACCATGAGGCATGGACCTTGAGGACAAAAGATAATTCACTAAAGAGGTGAAGGGGGAGGCTGTGAAGAGCCTGGGTTCTTGAGCCACCAAAACAATCTCAGGACTTTTTGTTAAACAAACAGTACATGTCCTCAAGGAATAGCTGGCACTAGGTACTGGTACCTGAATGCATCTCTCCTGACACATCCAAACAGGTTTCCTCGGAGGGAGCAGAAGTCTCAGCTTTCAGGCCTTTGGGTTGCTGCTCTCTATGTCAGCTGCTTGATTTGACTCCCATCTGGGGTCTGGCCGCCTGGCTCTGCCGTCTGTCGTTAGCCACCAGACCCCAGCCTCTGGCCTGGCTGGCCCCAGCTCCATGTTCTCTGACCCCTGCAGGCTCATCTGACCTTGGTACATGCCCCGGGGCTGCTGGGCTGTCCTGACAACTTGCCTAAATTGTGACCCTCTCCTTCTCCAGGCCACTACCTCCCAAGGCCCTCTGACCCAGGCCAACAAAACTCCTGGTGGCCCTACCTCTCTAGGAGATGCTTGAGCCTGGAGCAGGCAGGTAGAGGCAGCTAGAAGGTGAGCTGGGACAGGAGTCTTCCAGCCCCTGCCTGGGACTCCAGAAGGCGGTGGGCTGCTGAGCTGGGCTCCCCATAAGGAAATAGGTGCAGCCACTTCTTTGCACATCCCAGACCCAAGCTACCTCCCCTCACTACTCCCCACCCAAGAACCACCTGAGCTGCCCACTATATACCTGCCTCACAATGTCCCCGTGAGGAGCAGGGAAGTGACTCCTTCAACTTCTGTTTTATGGGATAGCAGAATGAGGCCCGGAGTCGAGAGGGATGTGCCAAGGCAGGGCTATTGCTAGGACAGGAACCCTAGCCCTGGTTCCGCCAACACATCCTGCTGTTCCCCCCACCCCCCACCCCCAAAGTCTGCTGAGGGGTCACGATGCTCAGGCCAGAGAGCAAGCCTGGCCACCCGCCCGCCGCCCGAGGCTTTGCTGCTGGGGCGGAGATGGAGGGAGGTGTCAGGACTGGGTGGATGTGGGAAGGAATTGCTCATGGCAGGAGGGCATGGGTGAGGGCCAGGTGGGTGGGGACAGCTGGCACTGTGCCAGTCCTCCCCCGGAGCTGTGACTTTTAACACCCCGAGGTGCTGGGCTGGGGCCAGGGCAGGCTGCGGGCCGATGCTCTGCCAAACCACGCGGAGGCTTCAGGTGCCTGGAAAATGTCCGTCAGGCAGCTGGCCCGGGGACCCTGCCTTTCCTAAAATCTTGGGTGCCAGAAGTACACCCCGTTATCTTCCCCAGCACTGTGACCCCTCCAGGGATTCCCCATCCCCATGTAGCTTGGCCCACGTGGCTGCATCTTCGCTGTGAAGCCTCCATCCCCAGCGCCCAAAAGCCACTGACCCCCAGGAGGGCACCGGTCCCCACCCAGGCCTGTGACCAGGAGCCCGGGCAGCCGGAGGAGCCTCCCTCCCACAGCAGGGGTGGGGGACAACGAGGCCGTCCAGCCCTGGGGCTTCCATGTCCTGTGCTCTGCATGGATGTCTCCTGTGCACCTGTGTCTCATGGTGGGAACAGAGGCGTGGAGTAGATGATAACACGGACCCTCACACCTGCCTAGCATCCAACCATTTCCAAAGCCGGGTCCCACCACCAAATCCCCTGAGGCCCCGGCAGCCGCGGGAAGCTGGGACTTTAATCCATTCTGCAGACAGGGAGGCGGGAGTTTGCTAAAGTCACCCAGCTGGTGGGTGGTCCCACGTATGTCTGACCCCAAGTGACAGTCACCTGCAGCCCCCATCTGACGAGGCAGGTGCCCTCACAGTCAAGCTTTCAAGGCAGGGGCTGGGCCAACGGCCATGTCGGGCTGGCAAGGGCTATGTGTATGTGTATGTGTATGTGTGTCTACGTGTCTATGTGCCTGTATGTGGTATCTGTATGTTGTCTACGTATGTGTGTCCATGTGTTCATGTGTACCTTTATGTGTCTACTAGTATGTATATGTGTCCGTGTGTCTCTGCGTGAGGGCCAGGTGGGTGGGAACAGCTGGCACTGCTCAGGGCTCTTGCCCACCTCAGTGCTCTGGCCTCACGCTGGCCTCCCTGGTAGCTGGCCATTGTCACACCACCTCCTCCATCAAGGCACTCTCCCCTGGGCTGAACCACCCGCCCCAGCTGGGGCTCTGCCTCGGGCTCAGGTAAAGCCAACCTCCCAGTGCTGGCTCTGCCCTGGGGCCAGGCGATCCCTCCCCCTGCAGTTTTGCTGCCCCAAGGGGTCTGTCCTCCCCTAGGCCCAGCCCCTCTAGTCAGTCACCAGCGCCTGCTCTCAGACCTCTGGGGTTCTACTGAGAATGGCCCCGCCACCAGGGCATAGCCCGTGGCCCCCACTGCTTCGCCTTCTCCCTGCCTGTACCTGCCAAGGACTTTCTCTGGCCATGAGTGAGCTGGGGGCCAGGCCAGAGTGACAGGGAACACCACCCAGAGACGCCTCGCCCAGTGAGGGATGGGAGCATCCTGGCCCCCTGAGGTCTGCTCTGCAGCAAGCTCCTCACCGCCTCCCAGGGGCCCTCCTGGGTAACCTGCCCCGCCACACGCCTGCACCTGGCACATTCTTCCCTCCCTGGCTTACTTCCTTCCTCTTCTCCAAGGCCACCTGGGGCCATTCCCAAATAAACACTTATCCTTCATCAAGTCCTTCTGCCTCTGAGGCGACCTTCTCCTTCCCCTGATGTAGACGGGCCGAGGGCTGGAGGGCTGGGGAGCTCTTCCTCCATCAGCTAGCTCCTCTGTGCCCCGCCCCATGCCAGACAGCAGGAGGAGGGGCCAGAGTTAGGGGAAGCAGCCCTTGGGGTGGGGTTGGTGGGACAACCACTCCTTCCTTTGAGGGGTCCACTTCTAGGCATCCAGTCCCTCAGCACCCGAGGCCTGTACCCAGACCAGCCTGCCGCCTGGGACCTTCAGATTTCTTGCTCTTTCCACTCCCTTCCCGCACCCCAGGAGGCTGGCCCAGCCTACAGAAGGCCACCACAGCTGCCTAGGCCCTAGTAGCACCCAACCCCTGGGACCAGGCTGCTCAGGCCTGGTGGGCTCCCTGAGGCTTGGGCCACACCCTGAGCCACACCCTGCAGGTGCCTGAGGCACCCTCCCCACAGCCAGCTCTCCGGGACCAGGCTCCCCAGTCTGTCTGACCTTGGCCTCCAGCGTGATCAGTCGCTCACTCATGTCGCTGAGCCGGGTACAGTTCATGCATTCTGCAAGAGAAGAGGAGCCAGGTGAAGGTGGAGTGTAGATCCTGGGGAGAGAGCCACCCAGCCACCAGGACAGCCTCTGGGTAAGGAAGCAGGGAACTCTTTGATTGTATGCCCGGAAAACTACCCATCCACCAGGGCATCATCCTAAGCATCCCCTCCTCCATGCAGCCTGCCTGGCCCCCGAGCCTCCTTTCTGGGCACCACAGCACCTAGTGCCATCCGTTTATCCAGCGAAATGCCTGCGCCAGCACCGAGCCAGCCTGTGAGCTCCATGAGGGCAGGGGTCTGTGTTTGTTTTGTTTGCTCATGAGTCTCAGCACCTGGCACAAAGTAGGGGCTCAGAAATATCTGAGAGTTGATGAATGGACAGCAAATGAAATGTGCTCCCCGACTTTGAGAACTGCAGTGTCAAAGGCACAGCTGGTAAGGTCTATGCTAGAGCTGTAAGAACAGAACATGCAAGAGAGCATCATGGGGTCGCCAAAGCCAGTCTGGGGTGGGGGTTGGAGGTCGGGGAGGCATCCTGGAGTCAGTGGCATCAAAAGTGAGGCCCGAGGGACATACTAGTAGAGTGATTGGCCAGGTGAGGGAGAGGGAGAGGCCAGGTCCAGCAGGGGAAGAACAGGTGCTGAGGCCTGGAGGGCAACCGAATAGGGGTCTGCTAGCAGCCTGGCCAGAGCACAGCACCCCTCGGGTCCACCGACGCTGGAGCCGGGGCCTTAACACAGAGGTTCTGGCAGGAGGAACTCCTGAGGCCAACGGGCAGCCGCTGGAGGAGGTGAAAATCAAGGTCAGTTTGCATTTCTACAAGTTCAGTCTGGCAGCAAAGTGTACAGTGGGAGGAGTGGGAGGCCTGAAGCCGGAAGGCCCACTAGGAGACCCATGATGGTTAACCCCCAGGCACACGACTCCCTGGGCTGTAATTATCTTTCTCTGTCTGTCTTCCCAGAGAGCCAGAGCTCTTTAATGAGGAAATAGATGGTTCAAAGCCGTTCCAAAGAGCTTTTATTGCTCTGGAAGTCAGGGGACACCTGAATTCCTCGCTCAGTTCAAAGCCTGGCCCGACAGGAACCCATCTGGTTAAACAGACACAGACGCACGAGAGGTGCCGGGTAACTCAACAGATTCCACGTGGTGCGTGGAGGCCCCTGGGCTGCAGTGAGGCCAGCATGTCCACTGGCAGGTCCACGGGTCCCACGCCAGGCTGTCCCTGGAAAGGTCCCCATCGCTGTCACTGAATGTAAGTCACCTTGCCAATGTCTCTGTTGCTCTGTGAGGGCAGTGGGCGGTGATGGCCAGGGGACACTTGGGCCATGGGAATAGGTGGTCCAGGCTGTGTCCTTGCCAGGAGTGCCCGGCCTCGGGGCCCGGGGGGGCTGACATCCACTGCTTCCTGCTCACCAGCCCTGCCTGGGTTCAGAAGGCCTACTACTCGGGCGTTCACCCTCATGGCCCTCCCTGTTCCCCTGGGCTGGGCCCAGCCAGTGGTTTATAGGCATGTTTTAGGAACAGAACTTTTCCCCCCAATAAACCTTGTCAGTAACCTCGATACATAAAACAGATTAAAGACTGAGGTATAAACACGGAAACTTTAAAACAACCAGAAGAATGTATACAGTTGTCTGACTCAGGTTGGGCAGGACTTCACAAAGACCAGCGAGAGAGGGGGGGGGTTGGGGTTGAATGGGGGAGGGGGAGGTTGTACATATCGATTCCCTCTAGTTTCTCCGGGGAAGGGATGGTAAAGAAAGGGAAAGCTATAAACCACAGAGCACAGGGACGGGCAGAGGAGACCCTCAGCAGATGAGTGCTGCTCGTAAAGGGAACACAGCCCGTGGCCGAGGCCCAGCCTCCTCACAACGAGAGGACCAGACCCTCCAGGTGGGAGAAGGGCAGTATCCCCTGGGCACGGGCACCCACCTGAGGAGAAAGGCCCACAGGCACTGACATTGGGGGAGCCCCCCTATGACGTAGCTGGGTCCCAAAGGCCCCCAGCAATAAGGCCAAACCACAGGGAAGGAGCCTGAGTCGCTTTAGTGCCTCCTTCTCAAGTATAGACAGTCCAGGATGTCAGGTCCTGGGCCTTTGGAAGGAGCCTTTAATGGGAAAGACAGAGAACAAAACAGAGTCCCATGATCCATCCACCCACCCTACACCCCATCCATCAGCCCACCACAGACAACCATCCCCTCATCCACCTGGAGGCACGGGGGTGCCCAGGAGCCCCTTGGTGACTGTGCTAAGACTGACAGGGTGAGCGGCAGGGCAGTAAGGAGGAGGGTGCCTGCCCTCGCAGCCACGGCCCAGGAGCCCTCCTGAGCAGCCATATCTCATGGGAAACAGGCTGACTCGGAGGGCAGGATGCGTGAGCCCCAGCTCCCCTCCTCTCCCCGTGGGGAGGGTGCACCCCACCCTGGGGCAGCAGGAAGAGCAGGAGGATGGACATGGGTAAGTTGTAAATTAGAGCCCCAGCCCCACCCATGGAACATTCTACAGCAGTTATGGACCTTGAATAAAGTGTTTCCAGGATCTGAGGCAACAACTAGGACTCCCTGCAGCGGGGAAGGGCAGCGAGGGAGGGGAGCCTCGGGCTCTCGCAGGAACCTATTTCTGGAAAGTGTGCTGGGCTCGGGCCCAGTTTGCTCTGGCACCGGGCGCCCTGTTTGGCAAGTGAGGAGCTGCTTGGCTGTTGGTGGGCACAGGGGGTCCAGGTCCCCAGCCGCAGAGAGGCCCCGGAGGCCCAGCCAACGGGCAGGGGCGAGTCCGTCAGCTTGGCCTCCCCGTGCCACCTGCCCTGGCAGGCGCTCTGAGACCAGGCGGGGTTTATGGTTCCCCTGGCATTCTGTCATCGACAGGCAATTAAATTATGTTTGCTTAGCTTTCTCCAGTTATTCATGGGGAGAGAGGTGGAAACGGCGCTGATGGGATGACTGGCTCTGTGACTGGTTGAGGCCCTGCCTGCCCAGCTCTAGGCCTCGGTTTCCCCTCTTCACATGAAGACTTTAACTTTCTGAGATTCTGTGATTCCCATGTTCCTACCCCCTTCAGGCCGATGAGCGCCCAGGCACCACACAAGTCCCTAGTGTCTAGGACACAGGTATCAGGAAATCTTTGCCAATATGTTGGAAGTGTGGATGTGCCAGACAAACAGGTGTGTGTGTGTGTGTGTGTGTGTGAAAGAGAGACAGAGATGGAAAGAGAGAGAGAGAGAGAGAGAGAGACTGAGAGACTAACTCCTTGGTGTGGTCAGAGGAAAGGGAACTCTATAGAGATCACAAACTCACTGTGTGGCTTGAGAGGCCTGCATTTCACCTCTCTGCACCTCAGTTTTCCCACTTGTGAAGGAGTTTACATTGGATCAGTTCCAAGGGCCTCAGGGTCCTGGACTCAATTCTCCTGGCACCGTACCCTCGCCCTTGGGCTCTCCCTGCTGGGCTCTGTCCACCTACAGCAAGATGGTAGTTGCCAATCTGCCTGCCATTTGCCCTTGGCCAGCACTACAACTGGTGATAGCTCTGCACCCAAAATTCTGGACCTTCCTCCTGAATGAGGCTGGATTCCCAAGACCTGACCCCTGAGAGGGGTCTCATCCCTGGGGTAGGAGTTGGCTACTGCGGAGGAATCTAAAGAGGCAGAGTGAGTCCACTGTGAGGCTTGGGCCCTGAGACTCCAGCAGGGAGAAAAGTGGTCCTATCCCCAAAGACCCAGCTCTCTCTGTGAGAGGTCTTAGAGATGGGTCTGCAGGCAGGGGGCATGTACAGGGTGGATGTCCCCAGAAAGCCAACCCAACATGACCCAGCTGGAGGAGATCCGTAAAATCCCCCTGAGAACTTACCCCCTAGGCAAGACTCTTAAGCCCTATTAGGAGAAGAGGGCTTCAAGGAGGTCAATGGAGCCAGAGGCTGTGGGGACAGGGTCGGGGCAGGCCAGGTAGATTGATCATGAATGTTCCTATGAGACCACAGGAATAAGGAGGTCTTGAGTGGCCTCAGTTTCTTCAATGGGACAAGAGATGGGCTGAGATAGAATCTCCAGCACAAATACATCTGGCACCTTCTATCTTACTACACACGGGGTCAGCCCTGCTCTTCCCAAGAGGTTAACCTTGGGCCAAACCTTCTTTTAGTGCCTCCCTCCGTCTGCTCTGGGGTCTGGAGGTCAATTAAGAGCTTCCTCCACTAGTGAGACTTTTGTCATCTCACCCTCTGTCAGAAACACTGACCAGCTCTCACTGCTCTCAGAAATAGTCGCATCTTGGCTAGGCTTAGCCAGCCTGCACGGGTCTCTTTGCCTTCTGCTCTGACTGCCACACTCCCATCCAGGCCAGGTCAACCACCTCCTGCCAGGACACACCATCTGCGCTTTCTCTAATGCCCATAGGCTCTCTCCAGTCTTCAAGACAGAGGTGTTCTTTTGAGGGAAGAGGATTTTCTGGCTAAGATTCTGTACCCAGCTCAACTATCCCCCAAGGTTTGAGCAGAGAATGAAAGCATTTGTACCCATGGATGGCCTTAAATATGTATACTCCAGGCACTCCTTCTCATGAAGATGTTGAGGATGCGCTCCACCAAAACAAACAGTAAACTGGAGAAAGGACCCAAAACAGGGAAATAAAGACAAGTTCAACATGGGAGCGAGATAAAGGAATATCCTAAGAAGGGAAATGAAGGAATGTCACACGATGACAGTGTGCAGGAGGCTGGAGCACAACCCAACCACACTAGATCAGGACACAGAGGGTCCTAGAAAGGAGAGAGCCCCTGATGTGTGTGAACACAAGGAAGAGAGAATTAAGCTTCTTTTGGGAAATCTGGGGTGAATTAGTGACATGCCAAGTGATACACCTCTATGACGTGGCATAAAAAACTAAGCAAATAAGAATTATTAATTTCCAGAAAAATGAAAAGTCTAAAGTGAAGAGAAGTGCCTTGGTATACTACCTGAATCGGCTGTGAATAGCATTTGCTTTGTTATAGTACTCTATTCATTGTCTGTTGATC